TTGAATTTCACTTGTTTGCCTAATGACGATATGATTTTATTTCAATAATAACTGTGTTCGCCCTATTTAGTTTAAGGTGGAAAAATTCAACTATCGGTCCTTCATCACCTTAAATGAAATAGTATAAACACGGTTCTTAATCAATAGCTACTAATAGTCTAGAAAGCCCATTTATAAAAATAAAAATGATTTAACTTAATTTTCAAAGTTTAGTTGAGGGGACTCGTAAATTGGCTTCACCTGACAACGAAGGAGGATCGCCTTAGGCTTGTTACTGCTGGATTGTGCCAAGAAGACCCCGATGAAATCGCGATGAGTTTTCTTTCTTTAGATATAGGACGTCATCAAAGTCAGAGGGCATTTTTTACGAAAAATTGCCCATACATACTAAATCATGAAGTTTGGCCGGCTAACTTTGTGATCTTAATAAGGCCTTACACGAGTTGGCTGACATCTTCATGCCAGCGAGGAAAATGGTGAGCGGATGTGCTCACAGTTGGTGCCTTCCGTAAATAAACTTGCACATGATCCTGCAATGAGGAGGCTTGTTCTAGGAATGTTGGTGCATGTGCTCTACTCATGAGTCGGTTGGCATGTGAGATGCCAAGTCTTCTCTTCGTTTACTCAGTGGTTTGTCCCGCTCCCTTTTCCTATATCAAATTATTTGTTCAAACAAACTCTAGAGGTACACTAACATCAATATAATATAAAGTGTATTCACCATATTTCTTGTAAGGTGATAACGGTACTTCCGGTAGTTGAATTCTCCCACAATAAAATGAATAAAGCTTACGTTTCCATTAAATTTCGCAAAACTCCTCTTCCCCAAAGATACTTCCATCCAGACGGAAGTGGACTACAGTTTCAAACTCGTCTTGGCTCTCGGGCCAAAGGGTAGATGTGAATTTCAGGGAAGGCCAGGCATTTTCCCATACCAAATTCTGTGGCAGGACTGTCTATGAAACAATGTTGGATTTACTATGGCAATTGGCTACGTTACTTATTTTTCGTTTGTAAACTTGTCTTCATTTGTAAAGTGGTAATGGGCCAAAATCCTTATTAGCTGGTATCAAATTATGTTGGGGTCGGGGATGAGACGGTGAGGCATCCGGAGGCCTGCTCTTGGGAAGTTGGTAAAACTGAAATATCGGTCCTTAAAGCCTGTGAGGTTTTGTGGCGGAGAAAAAGGGGCTCGAAAGGAGACCGGGAGATGGAGCAAAAATAGGCTTCGTCTCACCTTAAATTGTCTAGAAAGAATCTCTTTGGTGACGGCCACTTCTTGGGACATGTTGAGGCCCAGGTCGACCAGAGAGCAGACGACTTCGCCGATGATCTGGTCTCGTGAAAAACGATCGTAGCAGAGCACGACGAAGTGCAGGCTGCTCGCCTTCACCTGATTGACCGTGAGGCCTGAGAAGACGAAGCGCTCCTCGAACTCGGGACAGTTGGTGGCACGAAGAACTCGAGTGCGCGCCCGATGCCGTTTCTCGGGCAGCAATTGTACTTTGACGTAGGGGTCGACAAGACTCGCCTCCACCGCCTCACTGCCGCCTTGTTCGAGTCCGGCCGAGGCAAACTCAGCTGAGGTCGACGTCGCCGTTGCTGTCGTCGTCGTGTCGGACAGGAGGTCGAGGCAACGGAGGACGCGGACGCCGAGCTCCTGACGAGTGTGGTCGTAGGCGGCGGCGAACTCGAGCCAGCCGCGACAGCTTCGAGATCCGGCGATACCGGATGGCGAAGAGACGCCGACGGCGAGTCGACCAGCCGGACTCGGACGCCGCTGGAGCCGGACGTCGTGCGCTGCCTCGTCGTCCGGCGATGTCAAGTGAAGCCCGTTTGTGTGACCATTGGCCTCGCTGCCACTCGAAGAAGTCGACCAAGACGACGGAGACTGAACTACAGGGCTCATGGAGAGGACGGCTTCGTCCAGGAGGCTGTGTTTCAGAGCCACGCACTCCGTCATCCTCGATCCGTCTCGACGTTGCTGGCGCTGCGAGAGATGCTGGCCAGTTTGTGGACGGACGCCGTTCTCACAGGCTTGACTCTTTGCGCCGTTGGCCCGCAGATGTCGGCGACGCAACACGATCAGGACTGCGGCAATCCCGGCCACCGCCAGCACGGCAACAAGACTCAAGCCGACGGCGAGGCCTGCTGGCCCGGACGACCGCCCTAACGACCGACATGAGAGCAGAAGGGGCAAGAATTCGTGTACTCACGTCGTTGTCTCGATATCGCGCCACCCTAACAACACTTTCTAG